TACAATAATAGCAACAGCAACAAATACCATTGTATATGTATGTATGAGTGTATATTAGCCAACATTGGCACAACAACCTTAACAAAAGTGTTTGCAGCCAACAGAGCTCAACAAGCGCACCAGCAAGCCGCAACAGCTGATGTGGCAGCAGCAAAGTCAACACTTTTTGTTGTGTTACCAAGCTTGTTGTTGTTGTGGTTTCTCTGCTGCGTAGTTTAGGTGGGCGCGGCACTTCATACGCCATCAACGCTTTGAGCGCTCGCTGCTCAAGTGTCTTAGAAAGTTGGCCGCAAAGCACAAGTTCACAGCAAGAAGAGAAGGAGAGCGGGAGCAGCGGTTTTCAAGCAGCCAAGTAACTAACTAAACGCACAATCAACATACTATTTCATATTAGTTGGTGCGCCTATGAATCATGCTCACAGCTAAAGTGGCACAGCTGAAGCTGCGGCTCAGTTGAGGCTGAGCTGATGAGTGTGGCGCCGAGTTGAAGGACAAAGTGGATGTGGAAATCGACGGCATTGAAAATATGGAATGTTGGCTGTTGTTGCTACTGCTTTGTATATATTTTAAGGTTATTATTTGTTATAAATATATTGATAATGTTTCAATTTTTTTTTTTTTTTTATGATAAAGTCAGTTGAATGATAGAATTGAGTGAAAATAGTTATAAAATAAAAATAAGTTTATTAATTAAATTAATAATATAATAATAATAAAAAATATTAMTTTTGTAGTAGACTTAGCTTCAGTGGTGCATCGATTCTACAATACCCTTCACAAGTGTATTTCTTAGAGCATAAGGGTCACCAAAAGATATTTATCTTCATTTTCATCATTCAGTTATTATGACAGCTATATGCTATAGTGGTACTATCTAAACAATTTGTTCAAATTAGTTTCAAACGCAAAAATCTTTAAAACAATTCTATTGTAATTCACCAGAAATCTGCATAAAAACGCATTCAAATAAACGCAGACAAAAATGCATACAATTTGTATATGCTCCCACTATTTTCAGCAAAATAAAAAAATCAATCAATTAAAATTAATTATTACTAATAAATGCTGTCAAGTGTCATTGAGTGAGCGTCGAGTTGAATTCATACATATTTTATTTATGATTGCAGCTGACGTGCACGTGACTATTCAAGTCAGTGAAAAGTGAAAGGGAGCGCACTAAAAATTATTGAGGATGCCAGCAGTGACAATCCAATTATCCAAAACAAAAACAACAAACTAAAGGTTAGTTAAATAAATATTTACGGCTGTGAATAAATAATGAAGGAGCGTCAGTGTTGATGTAGTCTAAGAGGCGCTCCATAGCAAATGTGCGAGTGGTGACCTCAATTGGAAAATAAATGGAATAAATTTATAATTTGAGCAATTAGGCGCAAGTATGAAGTAAAAGCAGTTCTAGGAAAACTTATATGTATTTATATATAAATTCATCAAACATTTATAACTAGTGATAGCAAGCAGGAATAAATATTTACATACCTATATTAAATCAAGTTGCAGTAAATAGAAGTGCGAAAATATCAAACAAAATATTTTTTTTGACAAACTAGAAGAAAAAATCCTGTTTTCTAACTTCGATGTCAGTTTCTAAGCTTAAATATTAATCAAGGTCGTCAAAATTTACATAAATTTCGATACAAAAAACGTGCCTCAGAGGATCGTGTTATGCTGAGTGAGGTCCACGGAGAGTTTGACTTCAAGTTGTTGGTATATACATTAAGATTACTAAGAGAAAATGAAAAGAAAACTTGAAGTGACAAATCGAGACTTTTGGACAAATTTTAATCAATTCAATGTTTGAAGCGCTAAAGTCATTTTGGCCACAGCGATAAGAGAGCGCTAGTATTCGGTTGGTAAGAGAGGGTTCATCTCCTTTTTCATGCTAAAAATGGTTCGGACGTTCCATTACCCCACCATGAAAAAGTACCCACTTTGAAGAAGTTCAAAAAGGAAGTACCCGTCATGCATCATCTTCTGTTTAGAATATGGTCGAGCGAAAGCATGCCCGAAGTTTGGAATTTAAGTGTGCTCAAATCACAAAAAGGAAGACCCCACAATTTGCGCCAACTGCCGTGGAACAGTACAGGTTAGAAGACTCAACGGTTCTATGATTTTGGAAATATTTTAGCGGAAAAGGAATTAACGAAATCAAAATTGCAACATTTCAAGAGAGATGTATGAAGCAAACAAACAAGACGAAAATCAGAAGCACCCTGAAATCACAAAAAAGAATTTATCTTTTAACATTCAATTCTAGCAACAACAAAGCGCAGTTTAAGAGCCACTCATTGTGCACCAATAAACAACAGATTGAACTAACAATGCAGGTGCAACAAATGGCAATGACAGGAACAAAACAACGCAAAACAAAGTACAAAAGAGTAGTGAAAACCCCTAAAAGAAAACAACTATGAAAATAATACTAAACAGTGCTAAACAAAGCTGATACATAAATATGTAAATGCCAAATAAAAATAAAAACATTTCAATTACACATTCATAAAAAACAGCAACAACAAATATAGCTACTACGGGCAGCAGACGCAGCTGAAAAAATCAGCGAAATCAGAATCCACCAAAGCATTTATAAGCAACAACAAAATTTTTAGTTGCTGCAGCAGTAGCAACACGAAAACCATCACAATAACAAAAACTACAACAAATCTAACATTGTACGAACAAAAGCACCAATGTTGGAAAAGCTGTCATTAGAATCAGCACTGCGGATGAGCGGGTAAGCTATTAAAACAAAGCAAATGCGAAAAACTGCTGCCAGTTTCGCGGCAAGAAGCAATGACACCAACAACTACAACGAGCATAAACCAAAAAGACAATTACAGCAGGCCAGCAGCAGCTGAGCCTGAATCACACACACACTCTCAGGCACACAAATAAACCAMTTCGGGTTTTCAAGGTCAAGTGCGCGCAATTTTTATGGCGCATCGAAAGAAACAACGCAATAAAAGAAACAACATTTTCCAAAATAGTACGTACGTATATATATATATGTGTGGCTTGGTAGCAACAACAAAACTGTAAGCCACTTAAAAATTATGAAAGGCGAAATGGTGAAGTGAACGTGACCCACCGCTTTGTTGCTGTTTTTTTGCTTGTATAGTTACAGAGTTACTATTAACAGCGCTGTGATTTGGTAGTATTCACTGTTGACAAATTATGTTTTATGAGTGATTTTATTTGACATCTTCCCAGTGCCTTCAGCATAAAATTATTGTTGTTCCCTTAACTTCATATATTAGATTTTATTTTTTCTTAACATAATTCTTCAAGCATTATTTTTAACTCTGAGGTACATTAAGTAAGCCATGTTCTTCTGTCAGTTTTTGTGATATCGACCTGAAATTATGCATACGTTCATTTCTCTCTAAGAAGCTACTCATTTGTTGGAACCGTCGATATCGGCACACTATAGCATATAGCTGCCATACAAACTGATCGATTAAAATCAAGTTCTTGTATGGAAAACTTTTTTATTTGCAAAGACATCTTCACAAAACTCAGCCTGGCTTATAATACAAGGTAACCCTATAATATCTTTAGATATTGTTCAGATCGGACCACAGTAACATATAACTGCCACACAAACTGATCGATTMAAATCAAGTTCTTGTATGGGATAGTTTTTTGTTTGACAAGCTATGTTCACAAAATTCGGTGCAGATTGTTGTCTAAGACAAGGGCATAATTTCGGAACATATTATTCAGATCGTACCGCTATAGCATATAGCGATCATGAAAAATACAAGTGTGATGGTTTTTTTTTTTTTGTTTTTTTTTTTTTGTTGTATTTGTTTTTTGTTTTTGAATAGATCCTCCTTCCTCGCGTCATAGTAATTATTATTAGTTTCTAGATCATAAATTTTTCTTGTCTCACTTATCCTACATTTTCGCTAAATCAGCCAACTTTATTAGTCTTTATTAACTCATTGCTCGACACACAGCGCTCTAGCACATTTAGCTGAATTGCAATTTTCTTTTTTAATTGCTGTGTTGCTGTGTTTGCACACGCTTCCACTTTTTACAAAGGCACACCGCAACTGCCGTCTTCGTGGCTTCCTCTACCAAGAGCATTCATGCAACATTCTTTTTATTCATTTATTTATTTACTCACTCGCTTGTGCGACAAAATTTCCACAATGCAATTCTTGCGACGCATTTTCCCAAGAAACTCATTACTTGACTTATTTACTCTTTGCTTTCTTTCTTTTCTAATAAAGTAGTGCGTCGAGATAAAGGAACTACAGATTGCTAATGCAACAATAACGCAACGGTTGCGAAGAGCAGTGTCAACGAAAACAAGCAACAACAATAACATGCAGTAGTGAATGCATTAATGCGCAGATAAACGGAATAATAATGAGAGCGAATTAAATTAAACTTGGATTAAATAGTGGAAAATAGCATGAAAGTAGGTGGTTGTGGTTGTATTAAAAAATGTGAGTCCACAGTAGTTAAATGCGTTTCTACTAACTAAAAAGTATAACTTTTGCCAAACATATCATTTAAACAGATTAGTAAACTAATGTCCTATCGACAGAAACTTATAAACTAAACTCAAACCTTGTTGTTTGTAAAAACCTTAGCTAAGTTCCCTCGAAAAATATACACCATTTTCTCTATTTTAAAGTTATTTTCGAAAAGCCAAAATTATGTGTATGTTATAATGTGTGTTATAATATCTCTCATAGATTACTGCCTCGTTCATGAGTTCAAAAAAAACACCCTCATAATACTTTGATACATGCTCTTGAAGGCTTAATGATTTTCTCCTAAGTTAAGCTTGAGTATTCCTAAATATATTTCAAGAAAAAATAAACTATATTTAAATACGTAGTAAGAAGGATGGGGCTTAGGAGGTTAATTCAAAGGCTTCAAAAAGAACAAAAAAATTTATAATGAAATTTAAACGAATAGCATTGCAATGTTTACACATATTTAAAACTTAAAACTTCTGACAGACTTACCCAAATCACCGGTTCTATATTCTGCTGCTGAAAAATAGAAAACCAGAAATTAAATTTTGTTCCAATTTTCTTTTTTGTATAATTAATTTTTTTTATAATTTTTCATTCATTCAATAGCACTGAACTGTACTTCTCAAATGTGTTTATTCTATTTAATTTTATAAAGCCACATACAAACTTAGGTTAGTAAGAAAAAACGAAAAATTTGCACGATTTTTGAGAAGTCAGAAAACCAATATTTAAGCAAGGGAAGCGATGGGTAGTTTAGTAATTACGATAGAAAAGATTGTAGGAACACAATATGACTAACTGGTCACTGTCTGGTGGCGACACATGCCCGCAGGATGGGGATGACAGTTTGAGATTGCAGGAAATGTCTAGAGCAAGGCACCAGGGAAACAATCATAGCATAAAAACTGCATTGTAATATTTGAATAAATTGCTCAGATCCGAGCACTACAGCAGACCCTACCCATGTTTGCTAAAATAAATGCTAAAGTGAATGGTATATACTTAGCTTCGGTGTAGCCTTATTTAATATTTTTTCTTATTTTTTATGTTATTAATAATTGGGCATTACAAATAAAAAGATTATTTACAAAGCCAATAAAACAATCAAATAATCAGCTATATTTCAACAAAAAGAATACATAAAATAAAACATAAAAGTTCTTTCATAAGAAACCCATAAATAGCGACACCTTGTCTGCAAGCAACACAGAAGCCACGCCAGCCAAACCGTCTATAAAAACAAAGCATTATCATTCATATCAATCAGACAAGCATACTCACAGTGATGCGCACATTTAGTCACCGAGTTTGGCAACGACTGGGACAGCGAAAACACAAATAAAAAATTAAAGCAAAAAGAAGGCTTATCAAAACAATCATCTGGCCAAGCAAGCAGAAAGGTAGAAAGGCAAACAAAGAAACTTACAGACGGACATATAGACGGCCGACAGCCCACGCGACGTGCGTCAGGTGTTGTAAAGCTGCGTATTGCGCGAGTGCTCATAAAAAAGAGCAAGATGGGAAAAAAACATCGAAGAAAAAGGAAAAAAAAATTAAGAAAATAAAAAGGTGTAACAACAAATCAAGTTAAAAATCAACGAAAAATAAATTCCAAAAAGGGCGATGTGAGCAAATAAATCAAAGTAAAAACTCGACGTCGAAGATTCATGAGGCGCAGTAATGCTGGCAAACACGCACTCAATCATTTAAATACACACATACATACAAAATGAGTATTGCTGTTGTTATTGTACATCGAGATAAGCGCAAAAAATTCTCTGCAAACTTACATTACTCACTTAAAAGTCTTTGCCAAGCGCATCTATCACAGCGAAAATGTGCCATGAATTATCGCTCGCTTGTATCGGTGCTACGCGGCGTATGCGCAACGCATACGTAATTAATTTGCTTTGATTTATCTTTTTTATCGTTTATTTGCCAAAATCGAAGGCAAAAAATTAAAATCAACGCATTTGGCGGCACACGCCTTATATGCTGACAACTGTAGTGATGCTTGTTGTTGCTGTTGACAGGGTAAGCTGGTTCGCTAGGTTACTTGTTGGCCCAGCTGACTCTTTGCTCACCTTGTAGGCCTATTTAAAGCGCACTTAATTCTTACTTAAACGTTTTTATACGCCTTTAAAATTGCTGCGTACGCAGCGTGTGCGTGTAAATGTTTAACGCTTTCGACAGCAAGGTGAGTTTATTTAAGCTTGAACTTTATTTACTCTTGTTATTGGCAGAACGGGTTTGCTTTGTGGCTGCGTAACTGATGATCATGGCAATTCAAGTTAATATAAGAACAATTTTTCTTTTTTTTTAATTTATAAATAAGAAAAAAATTATCTTAGAAAAAAAATTTAAAGAAATTAAAAAAAATTATAATTAACAATAAAAAACAAAAAATTAACAACAAATTTATAAAGAAAAGAACTTTATAAAAAACAATATTTTTATTTTTTTTCGTTTAATTTTTCTTTAGGAAAAATATTACAAAAACATATTTACGAAAATAATACAAATTATAAACATATTCGAAACAACACATTTCGAAAAAAAATCAAAAATATGGAAAAATCGATTAATAGTCAATTTTCGATTCTTAAATAACTTAGAATTGAAGTATGCTAAGCAACATGTTGCGAGTGCTGCTTGCGCGCATACAGCTTGGCGGAGAGTTAGCTAGCAAATCATCAGGCAGTCAGCACTGCGACCAGACCATACCAGAGATGAAGAGATGCCCAACTCTCGTGTCATTGGAAATGAGAGAGCAATTCACCTACCCGACTTTAATAGATGACTGTAGGTTTTGATTTTTTGGAGCTGGAACGACTGGAAGGGTAAGATTTTTTTGAGTATCTCTCGCACTGAAATAAGTTGTATTATTCCGTATGTTAAGGGTGACCTCGATCACAGTTTCCTAAACAAGCACCAATAGAACGACCCGACTCAGCGTCATCTTAACACAGTTCCAGTGGGAATTAGAACATCGCTTAGTACCCCAAATCGAGGCAGAGCTAAGAACGTTAACGTATACAAATTCAACGGAGGCGCGAGGCGCGAGGCGGCGGCGACGTCTTGCAGTGAGTCGATCCTCTAGAATACATTTCATTCTTTACCGTACGAAGGCTGTCTCAGTCTCAGGTGATATGGATAATGAATCGATCCTCTGACCAGCTCTACATTTGTTATTGCGACCGCTGTCACTGCCCTCCATAAGTTCGCGTGACATACCGATGGACAGACAGACGGATATGAATAAAACGGCTCAGCTAAGCAAGCTGATTAACGATTAATATACCTACAATTATCGTCATTTTTGCATCAGTATATGCACATTTACACAAGCAAAAATATAGTGTAAGCACGCCTACTCTTTTTATATGGACAATTAGAATCAAATTGCATGAAAGTTAATTAAAATTCAATTAAACAATCCTCAAGCAAATACACACGAATACCTTCGGACAATCACGCTGTCAACACTGTCACGGTGTTCGAAAATGTAGTATGAAATTCGCAAAGTCAGAAGGACAAAGCCACAATTAACTGCATTATAAAAATCGTCTGCATCAGAGTTGAGTAAAACCGCAATGTAGTGTGGGGGGGGCACAGTTGGAGATGGTGTTTATAAAAGTTGTGTTAATAATAAATTAAATTGTGAAACCGCAAAGCGCTCATTGCAAACAGCTTTAAAAAAAAAACACAGACTGTGAGATGTGTTTGAGTTCACACAGAATTGTATCTGTAATGTGGAGCGTGTGGACCTAAAAACCACAAATATGGAACATTAGTGCAAATTACTATAATTATTGTATGAGGTATTTGAATTAAAATGCAACTTGAGGTATAAAGTATTCAGAACAAAATTTATTTATTCTATTATCGCGCGAAAATTCCTCAACATCAATCGACTAAAATTACAGATTTTTAAATAGAGCCGATCGAAAAGTTGCTCATCTGGAATATTTCAAAATAATTTTAAGTAGTGACAGTCTTCGACCGTATAAAAATTCGACTCCGTTTCGCTTACCAAGACTCGACTATCGTGGCAACGAAACTATAACCGTGTATATACATATATACTTGTATCTGCGTACCTATGTAATTCCATGCCCATACATTAAAGCACTTCATTCCGGTTTTGAGCACGTTCTCATACCTTGACCTTCATTTTAAGTAAGTACGATTACAATAAATTATTGTAAAAATTCCGATCAGCTTTTATGTAAATACGCTGCCATTTATTTGTAGACTTGTATGACAATAATTTTTAATATGCAAATCAGCTTTTGTGAGCCGACACTTCGTTATAGACTTAGACAATAACAAAAACACTGCGGAAGCTATCATAGAGTCATTGGGAATTATTAAATGGAATTAATAATGAAAGAAAACTTTTATAAAAATAATTGCAGAAATTACAGGTATATATGGTCAATTCATAAAAGATAATAAACTTAAATTTATTTAACACAAAGTTTATCTGAACTAAAATACAGTATTCTCGAAAAACGTCTAGACGATAGGTGGCGCTTTGATCAATATAATACTGTAAACCAAAGATAGTATATATGAAATTAATAGATAACTTTCCCAGAGCCTTAACGAACGAATAAATGAATTTTTGCTTCTCTCATTAATTTTAAATAGCACAAATCGATCAGTAAGAGATATATTTCATTAAACTTTGTTGAGAACTTTCGCTGAGCATAATATATTTTTGTGCCCAAAATGCCAAAAATTCCACAATATTTTCAACAAGCCTTAATATGATGGATATATGCACCAAATCTTGAAAAATAGTGAATCAAACAAGCAACTGGAATATATACAATAATAAATACAATATGCTGTTAACATTTTATTGAGATAGAAAAGTAAGCATTTATTGCATTAATTTCAATTAGAGACGTTTGTTTTTGCAAACGCATGTTAATATTTTCCAAAGAGTACAGAGCTCAAGGAAAGCGAGAAGAGAAATAGCCAAGCGAAGGCGGACAATACTTCAATATAAAGTTTGATAGCACTGTAAAGCATATAATTAGTGGAGTATTCACTACACCGAAAAAGTTAGAAATTCACCAAACAACTGGCATAAATATTTAAAACTGGTATAAATGTTACCAAAGGATATGAATAATAAAAACTGGTATAACATCTTCTTCTTATTTTTGGGCACCACAACGAAAGGTCAGTCTGGCTCGAGAACAGGAAACTTCTACAATTGTACCTAATATAAGATAGATATATGTAATTGCAAGCACTTGTAGTACTTTAAGCATTGCATTGAGTACAACTATTTTAGCTATGGTAGTTGCTGCTTTCACATGTACTTTGTTTAGGAAGGAGAGCATTGATAACTGGTATAATTACAGAAAATAAGATGGTGTAGATTTAAAAATGTAGAGTGGCGTATCAAATAACTGGTATGAAACTGAGATGCAAGTGTTGAAATAAAAAATGGTACAAAACTGGTATAAAATTTTCAACTCTTATAAATGTCTAATCTATAA